AGATAAGCAAAAATAAAGTCAATATTTCAAATAAGAAAATATGTACAAAAAGATAAAGTAAAAACATTTTAAATGCAAACATGTAAAACTTTGTTAAAATTAAAACTACTCATAATTCCAACACCTGGAGTTTGTTTTATGTTGTGTAACCTTCTAGACTTTTACCACGTTTATGGCATGGATATGCAATGACAATTCAGCGATTTAACTAATGCTTATTTTTTAACTGAATGCCCCCAAATTACACTTAATTACTTGCTTGTCAGGTAGCTGCCTTTTAATCCAGTCAGAAGTAAGATTTTGCTGTTGTTTGTGTTTCGTTTTTCCCTCTGCGTGGGAAGGAGCCTGGTCTTTAGAGTCGGCATACCTGGGCTCGAGTTCTGGCTCCATCACGTACTTGGGACAGCTCAATTGTGTTAGCTGTTCACTGAGCACCTGCTCTGTGCCAGTCCATGGGTTAAAAAACCAGTTGCCATCAAGTCAATTCTGACTCATGGAGACCACGTGTATCATAGTAGAGCTGTGCCTCATAGGGTTTTCAATGTTTTAGGAAGTAAATCAGGCCTTTCTTCCAAGGCTCTTCTGGATGGACTCAAACCTTTAGGTTAGCAGCTGAGTGTGTTAACCCTTTGCACCACCAAGGAACTCCAGGCCTTGAGTGAGGCACTGGCAATACATTACGTGCTTCTCTGACACACCTTACTTCCTCACCCCATACCTCTGTTTCCCATCTATACATGGAGATGATAGCTATTTCATGGGGTCTTTGTGAAAATTAAGCAATAAGTGAAAAGTCTTTACAGTTTGCCAGGCATTAGTTATTATGTTTTATTATTAGGTCTAGAACTATATGGAAGATTTCTGCATGTTAGAGAAATGAAGGCAAGCAGGAAGTTACAATAGAAAAGGTTAATTCTGTTAATACAGGAGGAAAGCTGTGGTTTGAAAGAGTGTGCCTGTCTCCTTATGAGTGTCTATTGACTATGACCTATATCTGAAAACTGGAATTCAAGTTAACTCAAATTTGCTGCTCTGAGGATAAAAAGTGGGGGAGAAGGGAGTGTGCTTCCACTTCTGGTCCCTTGGCTTCCCGCACTGAAAACTCTGCTCCTGCCACACACCTCGCTCGGCAGAGAGACTCCCACGCATTCCCCAACCTGGGAGCCTCACCCAGGGGACAGCTGGGCAGGACGCCAGGTGAACAGCTGCCCTATCCTGAGAAATAGCCCACACCCACCAGCGGACATGCGTTTCTCAGTTTGCTGAGATAAGGAATTTTCTTCCCGTTGTAGTCCGTGCTTTCCTGACACCTCTTAGCCCAGGAATCCAGATCCCTCAGCCATTCATTAACCCATTTCACCATGCCCTTGTAACTGTTCTGCCAGTAGGCCACTCGGGAGAATTTGGAGAGCCAGCAGATTCTGAAAGGTGTCTGCTCAGGAGCTCAGGTTTCCCTGTGGTTAACCTGTCTACCAGGTTATTTTCTCAGTGCCTAAGGACTGGAGCCAGCCCCCTAGTCCCAGAGGACAGGAGGATAGGCAGAGACCCCCAGGTCCCTTCCTGGGCCAGGAGGAGTCAGCTTTGGGCCACATTACCAGCAGGGCTAGGCCTGGACTAGCCCACCATCTCTGAAGGCCCACCTACAGGGGGCTCTGGAAGACCCTCTAGGGAAGATTTGAGTCTTCGGGATTTGCCTCTGGCTCACCACTCACCACCATGCACTCTGGGAGCCTGGCTCCAGGATAGGGCGGAGGTGTTAGTCTCAAGGGAGCAGGATCAAAGGCATGACTAGGAGGCCAGCCCAGGGGATTGACATTATGTAGCTTGGAGTAGGGACAGCCCCAAGGCCATGAGACAGCTGCACTCAAGCTTCTTCAGGGCTTCTAGGAGCTGAAAGATGTAAGTTTGACTCAGAATGAAACAAAGTTACATTTTGGATAAAAATTGCAGCTCTAAACAAGGGTGAACTTCAACTTATTCTAGCTGCAGAACCATGAAGCCCTGATCTGGAGAGGTTCGACACCTGCCCTAGGTGCAGGGTTGGATATGATACCCTCTGTGGGCCCACCTAGCTAAAGTCACTTTCAGGTCAGGCAGGTAACCTCCCTAGCTCTAGCTTGCTTTGAGTTCTTAGTTCTTCCCAGCTAGATCCCAAGTTGCCTAAGGGTCATGACTCTTGCCCTGTACCCCATACAGACCCCCGGGCAAAGCCTGCTCCTCCCACTTGTGGATTGGAGGGTTGACAGAGCAGGTAATCTAATGCAGAGGTTGCAGGATTATTCTCAGGTCACACAGGAAGGTCTTGACCTGGAAGCAAGCCTCACTCTTGCCACTACACTCTCCTTCCTCCTAGAGTAGAAAAGAGTAGACTCTTCTCTTGAACAGCTGTCAATTGGGCCTATCCAGAGAGCTCCATGCCCACACCTGTGCCAGCCTCTTTCAGACCCGGATGGCATTTAATCTCATAGAACACCTGTGTGTTTCAAGGAGGAGATAACAGAAGCTTCCAGAGGGTTAGTGTGTTGTCCAGTGTCCCCAGTCAACAAGTGGTGGAGATAGGATTCAGACCCAGGTTCCACCAACTCCAAAGCCAGTGCTCTGTCCCACACTGCCTCCCCCAGTCCTCAGGAGGGCTTTGTAGAGCCATCTGTGGCATCTGGATTCATTTCAAATTTATGATGAAACAAAGCAGTTTATCAACTCTTAAAGAAATCCTTTTAATTAATCATAAGATACATAAAAATTCGTTCAGACCACCTTAAGAGTTCTATAATTTCCTTCAAAGTCATAGTATTTAAAAAAAAGATACATATATTTTTGAAAAACAAAACTTACTTTTGGTTGGGTGTCTTAGCACTGCTGGGAGTGGCGTCTTTCGGATCTTCCTTGGCGCTCATAGCTGATGAAATGACAGGTGGGATGGTGAAGTGCCTTTATCTCCGCACACCATTCTGCCTGAGGACAACATCACAAAAGGCCACAGATAAAATTCTAGAACCTTTCTGAAAAGGTGGGTGGCAGAGGCAGGCAGCCGCTCTCTTTCCCTGACTCACTCCCCGTCAAACTTCTAAAATGAAGTAGCAAAATTAGCAGGTTTCCTCATGCAGGCTTCCCACCCTGGTAGCTCCGGAAGGCTTAACACGTGTCCTTCTCAAGACGGTGCCTCTCCGGGACCCAACCCAGGCCCTATGCTGGCTCGTGAGACCAGGCTGTCCCCCGAACTGGAGAGGCTGCTCTGCCGCACACTGTGCAGTAGAAGCAAATTTTCACTTGAGCCTTTGCAAACTAAAGCAATAAATTTGACCCTTTTTTCCTCCATTTTTTTGTTTGTTCGTTTGATTGTTTTGAGGCGGGGAAGGCTAGAGAAAACGGACCAATAGATGACTTCTTTTTTGATAGGGGGAGAGAGGTGTTGCCCAGCCTGGCAGTTACTTTCTGCTTAAGGAAAAGCTGCCAAGCAGAGACTTGAGGGCAGAGGGCTGGGAGGGCTGGGACAGTTGATGTGATTGGTGAAGCTGTCACGGGAAGATGAAGGAGCCGCGCCTGCTCAGATACACATGGGCAGCCAGGCCACATGCCTTCTTGTTCCATCCCTGGGACTACCGCAGGTCCTTCATATGGGGTGTGGTGGACATATGTGAAATGGTTTGGTGGAACATCTTGAGCAAAGACTAGGTCTTGGGAGGAGAGCCCATGGAGACAAAAGGACAAAGAAACAGACCTGGAAAGGTAACAGAGAGATGCCCCAGAAGCTGAGGAACTTGGCTCTTCCAAGCTGGTAATCAGTCCTGGCTGCACAGAAGGCATTTCTGGTGGCAAAGCCCATGCCCACGCCCTCCCAACACTGCATTTTATTGAACTTTTAAACCCTTACCTACCAGCATGGTCAAAAGCGGTGTTTCATCCGTTCAATTTGTATTTCATAATTCTATTCGTAGAAGTATAAATTGGTACAACTTTAAAGAGAGTGATTTGGCAGTGTAGAGCAAAATAGAAAATGCTCTATTTAACCTAGTCGTGCCACGGCCGGGAGCTTCTCGTGATCACACGCACTGAGTGTCAGAGAGTTGTGCCCAGCGGTGGTCATGCAGGCGTGCTCACGGCCACAGAGGTGGTCAGAGTGCAGTCCCAGGTGGAGCCCACCGCCCACCAGTGAGGACGCCTCCGTGGAGTGCGGGCCGCTGTGCTGCCTGAGAGCGAGCTCTGCGCACCGCGTTACAGGGCGCTGCCGAGCGGAGCGCGTAACTCAGGGTGGAGAACTGTGTGTGTGACGTGAGCCCGTGTGTCAGACTCCACAGAATCTACAAGCGTGTATGCAGGCGTTTGTAATACACAAGCAGCTGTTAACTGTGGACACTTGTGGAGTGAGACTGGGAGTTTGGAGACTTTGATTTTATGTTTTATGGCCTTCTGGAAATATCGTTTGCATTTTTTTTTCTTTTTTTTTTTTACTACATTAACCACCAGTTACGTCAAGTCGACTCCGACTCATGGTGCCCCCACGTGTGGTGGAGTAGAACTGTGCTCCACAGGGTTTTCAGTGGCTGTTTTTTTTGGAAGTAGATAGACAGGTCTTTCTTTTGAAGTGCCTCTGGGGAGACTGGAACCTCCAGCCCTTTGTTTAGCAGTTGACCGTGTTAACCATTTGTACCACCCAGAGACTTTCACCATGTGCATGCATTGTATTCACATTTAAAAAGAGAGGCAAAGAAGAGCAAGCTGTGGACTTAGGGCTCCAGGGTGAGAGCAAGGCTAGCCCTGCCTCTGTATTCCCTGAGACATCTCCTCAGGCTGCATATTAGCCATGTATTCTAGTGTCACATAAGCAGGATGGTGGCTGCAGGAATGTCACCTTCAGTCAGGCAGGGTAGGGGCAACGAGGATGCAGGCAGTGGTCTCCCCGCACTGCCTGGAGCACCTGTTGGGTGGGTGGGTGCCCCACTTGCTCCCTCACTCCTACCTCGAGATGTATGCTCACCTCCGTTATTTGCTGTTCACAGGAAACACCCCGGCTCGGACAGAACCATGCTGCAGAGGTGGCAGGTACGGTTATTTCTTCAGGGTAGTCTGGGTCTGAGGAAGCTCCCAGGAATGACATCAGAAAATAGCTCAGGCCCCTATGATGGAAGAAGTATGTGGATTACTCAGCAAAAGATCTTTTATTTTATTTTATTAATATGCCAGATATGTCCCAAGTATTTTCCTCAGAAAATCCCAGTGACTGAAGGAGATGCTTGGGCATTGGAGTCAGAGCTGGGGAGTGAGTGTGGCCGGTGTGTGGGCACACGTGTGTGTATGTATGCGTTGTTGTTAGGTTCCTTTGAGTCGGTTCTGACTCACAGTGACCCTGTGTACAACAGAAAGAAACACTGCCTAGTCCTGTGCCATTCTCACAATCGTTGTTATGCTTGAGCCATTGTTGCAGCCACTGTTGAGGGGCTTCCTCTTTTTTGCTGCCGCTCTACTTTACCAAGCACGATGTCCTTCTCCAGGGACGCATCCTTCCTGATAACATGTCCAAAGTAAGTGAGACAAAATCTTGCCATCTTTGCTTCTAATGAGCATTCTGGCTGTACTTCTTCCATGACAGATTTGTTTGTTCTTCTGGCAGTCTGTGGTATATTCAGTATTCTTCACCAACACTGTAATTCAAAGGCATCAATTCTCCTTCAGTCTTCCTTATTCATTATCCAGCTTTCAAATGCATTTGAGGTGATTGAAAACACCATGGCTTGGGTCAGGCACACCTTAGTCCTTAAAGTGACATCTTTGTTTTTTAACACTGTAAAGAGGTCTTTTGCAGTAGATTTGCCCAATGCAATGCGTTGTCTGATTTCTTGACTGCTGCTTCCGTGGGCATTGATTGTGGATCTAAGTAAAATGAAATCCTTGACAACTTCAATCTTTTCTCCGTTTATCATGATGTTGCTTACTGGTCCAGTTGTGAGGATTTTTGTTTTCTTTATGTTGAGGTGTAATCCACACTGAAGGCTATAGTCTTTGATCTTCATCAGTAAGTGCTTCAAGTCCTCTTCACTTTCTGTAAGTGAGGTTGTGTGATCTGCATATCTCAGGTTGTTAATGAGTCTTCCTCTAATCCGGATGCCGCATTCTTCTTCATATAGTCCAGCTTCTCAGATTATTTGCTCAGTGTACAGATTGAATAAGTATGGTGAAAGGATACAACCCTGACGCACACCTTTCCTGATTTTAAATCACACAGTATCCACTTGTTCGAACGACTGCCTTTTGGTCTAAGTACAGGTTCCTCATGAGCACAATTAAGTGTTCTGGAATACCCATTCTTCACAATGTTATCCAGAATTTATGATCCCACAGTCGAATGCCTTTGTATAGTCAGTAAAACACAGGTAAACGTCTTTCTGGTATTCTCTACTTTCAGCCATAATCCATCTGATATTAGCAGTGATGTCCCTATGTGTGTAAGTATGTATGTGCATGTATGTGTGTTTGCAGGCACTGAGTGCCTCTGTGTATACACTCATGACCCACCCATGAAGGTGTGCACATGTGTGTAAGATGCACACAACATGGAAGGGGCACGCACGTTCATGTCTTTTTCTGGGGAAGACACATGTGACTCCCAGCCTGGATGAGCTTGACAGACAGCTGAGGGTTCTCAGTGGAAGGAAGGGACCCCAAGGGGGCAGTCCTAAAGATCACATGGCAACAAGAAAGTGGCTCTTGGTCACCCATTTCTGCAGTCCTTTCTTTCCCAATGAGCAGGCCAAGGAAAGGAGAGACCATAGATAGTATATAGGTCCCATATCAGAGATGACAGCTATATGGGACTGCTCAGTCACTCATTGGCCTTGGTGAATTTTCCCCAAATATCTTTCCTGTCTCTGTTTGTGACTGGTAAGACAGAAGGCCCCTAGGCATGGCCATTATCCCAACAGTCAGGGACAGGGAACAGGCAGCTCTAAAAGTCCCAGAGGAAGGCTGTTGGAGAACTCAGTCCATTAGCTGGTGAGGACTTGTTTCTCTGTTACTAAGACAACCCTCAGTTTATTCTTCCAATTGCAAATGTGTCAGCAGTAAGTTTACTCACAGCATTTGTGCATTTAATCAATTTTTGAGTATCTCATGTGTTGACACAAAAGATGTTTTATCCTTGACTTTGGACTGCTAAGTTGTACTTTTTATCCAGACAGACTTAGCTTCCAAATATATTTGCTGCAGCTCCTATTGAAATTGTGTGTGTTGCTGAGTTGGCACTGGCTGGTGTCCGAGATGCATGCGAACAACCAAGTTGATGTGTTGCCTCTTCTCACCTACAGAGAGAGGGACTCCTGCTGAGGGCTGAGAGCTAGACCCCTGTGGAGGTCAAACACCTTTAGCTTACCCTTTTTTTTTTTTTTGTCTCTTCTGGTAGAAAAGGGAAATCAGCAATTTTGAGTATCTCATGTACCTCAACACGCTGGCTGGGAGGACCTACAATGATTACATGCAGTATCCAGTGTTTCCCTGGGTTCTTGCCGACTACACCTCAGAGGTAAGGGATTCCCATGGCACAGTGTGCAGGTATGCTGAGGGTTTCTCGCCACGCTAACCAGCACAGCCTAAGCCAGAATGCAGAGACTACCATGAGGTTCACTACAGGTCTGGGCCCAACGGCTGTTGGTTCTTAGGTCCCTTGCCCCACCTTTGGCATTGGACTGCCTGCGCGCAGGTCCCAGCCCCACCTGTGGGAAGGTGGACAAGGCTGTGATGATCAACGTGACTAGTACAAATGCTAACATTATCTGAAGAGAGCTTCCTGGCTTCCGATCCCCATATTGAGATACCACCGTGGACCAACACTGGTGGCGAGCTGCAGTCACAAGTGATGTGGGCCATGGAGTTTGTTCTGGAATCCACATGGAGAGAGAGGGAGAACTACGCTTCCTGAAGATGGTTACTGTCACTGCGATGGTCGAATCTGGACTTCACCCAGGATCTGGCCCAAGACACGGAGTGCTGGGGGAGCTGCCGGCAAGACCGGGTCATTCGTCCTCTTGGTCTCTATCCCTGGACCTCAGCAGGCGTGGGAGGAAGGAGGAGGAGGGAAGGTGGCACTGGGACCATCTGGACACGGAGCAGTGTCTCTTGCCATCAGGAGACACGGTGAGTCGTGTGTAAAGGGAAGAGGTGGCTGGGTCCTTGGTGCCGACCAGCCTGGCCAGTCCTGCCTGAGGCTGCTTGGAAGGCTGAGCCCCGGGAGTTGGGAAAGGGGGCTCAGGCTTCTGTAACCTCACATCCCCGCTCACTTCAGGCATTTACCACAGCCTTTTCTCACCAGCTCTGTGCTTCTTCTTGTCGTGATGATCCATTTGAGGTAGAAGCGTTTAAAAAATGAAACGTAAAATTCCAGCTTGCACAGGGTGATTTGCAAGTGTGTTTTGTTAGCCAATGTCCTGTGTTTAAATTTTTGATCACTTACCAGCATTTAAAAACTGAGAGATTTCTCATAAAACTGTGGATTTCCAGTATCTTTTGGGAAATCAGGAGATATGGCAACTGGGAGAGCCTTGGTGGCACAGTGGTTAAAGCTGACTGAAAGGTTGGTGGTTTGAAACCACCAGAGGCCCCACCAGTGGGAGAGAGATGTGGCAGTCCTCTTCCGTAGAGATTTACAGCCTTGGAAACCCTCTGGGGTTGCTATGAGTCGGAACCGACTCAATGGCAGTGGGTGTTTGGGTTTGGCAACTATGAAGCTCCATTCTCATGTGGTAAAATCCGCTGGAGCCGAGGTGCGGCTGCCCCTTTAGACGTGTGTAGGTCTCTGCGTCCCTGTCACTTGCTGGGGGCTTGCAGTGGCCTGCTTCATTCTCGTACCCCCTGGCCTCTGCAGGTGTCTGAAACTGTGGTACACCCCACTCCCCAACTGGAGCTGAGGTGGGGTCTCAGCTAGTGAAACAAAAACCAGTAGCCACCGAGTTGGTTGTGATTTATGGTGACCACATGTGTGTCAGAGTAGAACTGTGCTCCATAGGGTTTTCAGTGGGTGATTAAAGAAAGTTACAAAGAAATGAAGGCGCTCTCGTGGCGCAGTGGTTAAAGCACTAGGCTGCTAACCAAAAGGTCAGCAGTTTGAACCCACCATCCGCTCTGTGGGAGAAAGATGTGGCAGTCTGCTTCCATAAAGATTTACAGCCCTGTAAATCTTATGGGGCAGTTCTGCTCAGTCCTCGGTAGGAGTTGGAATTGACTCAGTAGCAGTGGGTATAAAGAAATGCTTCCTTCTGTAAAGAAATACAAAGACTGGGGGACCACGCAGCTCCTCTGCTAACATACAGAACATCTCTGCTCAAAGAAAATGTCTCTAAGTACACTTCGTTGTTGTCACGTGCCATCGAGTCGGTTCCAACTCATGGCAACCCTATAGGACAGAGTAGAGCTGCCCCAGAGGGTTTCCAAGGAGCGGCTGGTAGATTCCAACTGCCAGGCTTTTGGTTAGCAGCCAAGCTCTTAACCACTGTACCACCAGGGCGCCACTTGGTCCCTGAAAAGTCTTCATTTCTCCACAGTTCTGCATCTCCAAGGGCAGAGGAAGGGGACAGCACTCTATTCTCATTGCCAGGGAGGAAGGGAGCCTGCAGAAAATGAGGCTGATCTTCTCAGTTCCTCCCCAAAGGGATCCCTTCAAACTTCTTGCTAAAATCAGTGTGATTCTAAGCAAACACCCAAAACAATTAAAGTAAACTACTTTGTGAGGGCAGGAGACAAGTGCCTTATGGAGAACAGGGATTCTTTTTAAAGCTTCTTTCTGGTAACTGGAGAAGATCTTCTGAGCTGGGGCAACTTGGAACAGGTTCAGTGTGAACTCAGTCTTTCCCTTCTCTTACATTCCATCTCTCCCCTATTGAGTCCTTGTGGATCACTGCCTCTGCGACCATAACACCCCTGCATGCCTGCTAATCACCAGAGGGGGTCAGACCAAATGACAATAAGCCAATAAGAGAACCATAAAACTGAACAGCATGGCTCCTGGAGTCTCTCCGGGCCTCACCAGGGTCTGGGGGGAGTTAACTCAACTGCATATTTGCCTTCTAGACTTTGAACTTGGCGAACCCCAAGACCTTCCGGGATCTTTCAAAACCCATGGGGGCTCAGACCAAGGAAAGAAGGCTGAAATTCGTCCAGAGGTTTAAAGAAGTTGAGAAGACTGAAGGTAGGCAGATTACAGGTTGAACTATCCGAAATGCTGTTTATCTGAATGCTTAAAAGTTATAGTTGGTAACAATTTAGGCAGTCCTCTAGCTAATGGACAGTTACATTGGAGAAGAGAATGTTCCAGTGCAATGCTTTGCACCCTGGTTGCATGTAAGAATCACTGGGGAGCTTTTAAAAAATATTGATGTCCATGCTCCATCTCTAGAAATTCTGATTTAAATAAGGCCCTAGTGGTGCAGTTGTTGAGCACTCGGCTGCTAACCAAAAGGTTGGTGGTTTGAACCCACGAGCCACTCCGCAGAAGAAAGATGTGGCAGTCTGCTTCCGTAAACCTTGCTGTGTCCCATAGGGGTGCTATGAGTTGGAATCAGTATGACAGCAATGGGTTTGGTTTTTTGGTTTTGGGTAGTGAGGCACAGCTCAGATGATTCTAATGTGCAGCAAGGACTAAGAAGTACGGCACTAAGAGCTAACATAACTCCATACCTCGTGGCAGTAAAGGCAGAGGACCTGACACTGGTTTGGTGCAGGCCAACCTGCATTCATGGATTGTGTTTGTTGCTGTCAGCTTTGACTCATGGTGACTTTATGTACAACAGAATGAAACACTGCCTGGTCCTGCATCAGCTTCACAATTGCCAGCACGTTTAAGTACACTGCTGTGGCCACTGTGCCATTCCGTCTCACCCAGGGTCTCCCTCGCTCTCGCTGGCCCTCTTCTTCACCAAACATGATGTCCTCCTCTAGCGACTGATCCCTCCTGATGATGTGTCCAAAGCAAATGAGTCAAACAATGTTATGTCATGATCCATGAGGTTTTCATTGGCTAATTTTTGGAAGTAAATCACCAGGCCTTTCTTCCTAGTCTGTCTTAGTCTGGAAGCTCTGCTGAAACCTATCCACCATGGGTGACCCTGCTGGCATTTGAAATACCAGTGGCATAGCTTCCAGCACCACAGCAACACACAAGCCACCTCAGTACGACAAACTGAAAAATGAATGGTGGACTTTCACGTATACGATGGTTCATTTCACAGGGAAGAAAATGGAAACTCAGAGTGTAAGCAATTTGTTCAAGATCACAGAGCCTGTAAATAGCAGAGTTTGCATTTGTCTGACCCTAGAACCTGTTTCCCAGACTTCAGTCATCTGCACATCACCTTTACAATTTTTGTCACGTCTGTGTGCCATCTGTACTATTATTGCCTTAATATTAGGTCTAATAATCTTTAGGTGTACTCACTTCTTTAACTTCAATATATATTTTTTTTAAAAGAAGTTTTTATCATGCATTTGATGCTAACTATATATTTTTTTCTAAAACACATTGAAAAAGCATACATAAATAAGAGACATCCACCTATGAATTGTGACCAATCACCCCAAGAGCCAGTGGTGGCACACTTTGGGGAGGCCCAGCCTTTGGGGAGTGGGTTCTTGAGGGATAAGGAGGCCTCTGTGCACCCTTCACATCCCAGCCCCTGGCAGCCACCTGGCCACTGTCCACCACCACTGCCCTTCGTGGTGCTAGGACTCAACACTGCTGGGGGCGAGGAGGAAGTAGAAGGGGCAGGCAGGCACTTCTTACCTCCTGGGGTTAAAGCCGAATCACCTGTGACCCCTCTGTGCCCCCATTCCCCAGGCGCTGTTCTGGCTGCCGCAGGCATGACTGGAGCCTCTCCACAGAGAGAAGGAGCAGATCCTACCACTGTGTGCCAGGCAGGGCTCCCTTTGGCACTGTTGTTACCCATCTTAGCATGGGTGTGCATTAAAGGGTCACATATTGAGGTTAAGGGGGCTTGCACAGGACACCAGCAACCCCCCAGACAACTCCTTCAGAGAACTTGTCTGAGGGAGGGCTTAGCGCTGGGTGTGGGGTGCAGTGAGGTGGCTGAGCAGACATTTTGGGGAGCTGGCCCAAGGCCTCTGCTCTCTGGGCCACCAATTCAGCCACTTTTTACTAACAGCAGCAGATCTCTCATTCTCTCTGGCGTCCTTGCCTGTAAGATGGGGATAGTAAACAGAGCCAATGCATAGGGTGCCATGTGGATGCAGGGAGGGGGTGATGGAAGATTCACAGCCTGCACAGGTGCTCCAGACGGCAGCACCCCGTCATTCGGTGCTGCTTCTGCCTTGGCTGTCCTGCCTCAGGCTTTCCCTGGATGGGGCACGACAGAGGCACCCACACCTGCCTGGGCCCCCAGCGGTCCAGGGAATGAGACCACCTGTGTCCGCACTCACCGTGGGGTGTCACTGACCTAACCTGGCTCTCCTGCCCACAGAGAAAAGAACTGAAGGAGCAAGAGCTGGGGGTGCAGTTGTAGGTGTTCTGGGGTCTTCTACATGCCCGTTAAGTCAGAAAACCAGCGCACCGCCCCCCGGGAGTCCTTGGGTGTGGCCTTCCAAGGGCCTGGGTCTACCCCATGTCCTTTCAGGCAGACCCCTGAGGCCTTGGGTGGTGTAGCTGCAAGGTCTGGAAATAGGTTTTCACCTGTGGTAGCTACTGACCAAAACACAGTGACAGCTGCGTGTGGAGTAGCGAAGCTGTGGGCCTTCAGATGTTCTCTGAAGCCAGGCTCCTGTTTGCTCTTCCCGAGTGCGATGTGGCGCATGGCCTGTGTGTCTGCATCTGACCGGCATGGGTGGGACTGCAGCCCTTGGACACTGTCCTCTCGTTGCAGGAGACCTGACCGTCCAGTGCCACTACTACACTCACTACTCCTCTGCTATCATTGTCGCCTCCTACCTGGTCCGGATGCCACCCTTCACCCAGGCCTTCTGCTCTCTGCAGGTGAGCCCCTCTCCCCGAGGTGTGTCGTACAGCCCAGGAGCTGGGCTTGGACAAGGAGGGCACCTCCCTGCTAGAAAGTCCATCTTTAGCCCACAAGTCCCACTGGACGTTCACCCTGGGATGACAGGCTGCTCTTCTCAGTTACACCTGCATGTCTGCCCAACAACCTGACAGGACTCCCAAACGTAAAGAGTGAGAGACATGAAAAAAATACTTAACATAAATACGTTTTAGTGGAAAAGGAAAAGCAGGAAGTAAAGATTGCAAAGGGAGGCAGTCAAAGATTAGAAAAACAAATACAAAAAAGGAACAGTGAAAAGAATATGACTCAAGACATCAGAACGCACTAAACCTGCACCAAGTGCACGCTGAAAGGCTTAGAAAGACAAACAAAATATTTGAGGACCAGAGCAAACAACTAAACCTAAGAAAGACACCGACCCAGTTACCCACCCGTAAACTAACAGACCATCATACCCCTCAGGTTGCCTGATTTAGCAAATAAAAATACAGGATGCCCAGGTGAATATAAATTTCAGGTAAACAATGACTTATACTAAAAAGTTATTGGTTATCTATCCGAAATTCCAGTTTGCCTGGGCCTCCTGTATTTTATCTGGCAACCCTACACGGGCTGTATGTGAGCCAGTGCCCATTCCTGTGTGGGCAGGGGTGTACAAGGCAGGGAGGCATTCCTGGCACAGAGTCCCACATGGGCAATGTTGTTAGGATACCGAGTAGGAAGAGACCCCCAACCTCTCACCCTTCCTCTCCTACTTGAAAGTTCAAGTTCTTTTGCTCTCTTCCTTCCCAACCCCATCTGCTGGGATCCTGCTTCCAAGGTACCCATTAGTCCAGGGGCAGAGCTTTGGTGGGGAGAGCCTTCAGCAGCTCAGTGAAGCTAGCTGGCTCAGCCAACTCCAGAGTGAATGGACCACATAGCCCAAGTTTATGGCCTGGCATTACAATGGTCCTATGGAAAGAAAAGGCATTAGCTGCGGGCGGGTAACAGACCAAGGCAGGGCAGCTAGGTGTGGCAGCCTTGAGGACAAGCAGAGACTTGCTGTAACAGCTAAGCTTCATCAAGGAAAAGAATGAATGTTCCAGGAACTGTGTTTAGGCCTGACCTCACCAGCAAGGTCACTCTTTGTGGTTAGTCAGAGGACCTTGACCCTGAGAACCAGCGACCACCCTGGGTCAGCACTAAAACCCACTCCTGGGCCCTGGGCAGGAATGGGTCAGCAGGGCAAGGCACTTTTTCTCATCAGGAGCAAAAGCCCTCCTGTCTTCTGTTTCTTGGCACAGACTTCTCTGTACTTGATGGCTTGCTTCGTCTAGACATTGTATAATCCTCTTTCCGTGGAAATTAACTCAAAAATAATAAGTGTGCTTCCCTTGAGTCTTTCTCAGGCAACAAGCATTTTAAGTAAGTTTGGTTTGGAGAAAGAATGGTCCCAGAGCTGGACCACATGCCAGGAATCCCATCCAGATGTTGCTCATTAATCCACAAGAAATGATCATCACCATTGATGATGAGAGTGATGGATTCCATCGCTGCTCTCCACCCAGGGACCTCTGGATGCTTTAAAAGTTTCCCCTTGCCCCTTAGGTCGAATGCATTAAAGCCGGAACCCCCAGCTTTACCTGTTGCTAAGGGTCTGCTTCCATTGGGAGGAGACAGAATGAAACAGAAACAGTGTCAGCTGTGAGATTCACATCCCAGCTCTGCCACTTAATAGACAGAAAATATGCTGTGAGTTATTTTACCTTTGGAAATGAGGGTAAATTGTATACATCTCACTGGGCTGTTGGGAAGATTAACAGAAAATGTGGGCAAAGTCCCCAGCGCAGGGCTTGACACCATGAGGTGATCCATCACGTTAGTTCCCTTCCTCCTTCTGCAACCGGTCAGCTCTCATCTGAGCAGGAAGAAACCAGTTCAAGCTGGTTTCCCTTGGTTGAAGTCAATTCAAGACAGTTTGGACTTTCCAAGTGAGCTTGAGCCAGACTCAGCAGCTATGCTGTGAACTTTCTAGAAAAGTTGGGTTAAGGCCACTTTTAGTTGAGTCACAACCAGTTTAGACAAATTTCGTTCATTTGTGAACAGAGCAAACTGGTTTGAGAGGGCCTAAACCCGGGTGGTGAGCCCTGGTGGAACAATGGTTAAGCACTCAACTGCTAACTGAAAAGTTGGTGGTTCAAACCCACCCAGTGGCTTATACTAAAATGTTATTGATTGTCAATCTGAAATTCAGGATTAACTGGGCCTCTTATCTTATCTGGCAACCCTACACCAGCTGCTCCCATGAAGGTTACAGCCTAAGAAACCCTGGGGAAGTTCTGTTTTGTCACATGGGGTCGCTATGAGTCCAAATCCACTCGATGGCACATAACGACAACAAACCAGGGTGAGGTGGTCAGAGTCAGTTTTAGGTGACTGTAGGTAGCTCAGCTCAGCCATGTTAGCTCAAGCATCTTGACTCTGTGTTTCAGTCTCTCATGTGACTCCCCGGATTTCCGGGGTTCAAATCTATTTGTAGCTGGTGGGCCTCTCTGGGGTGAAAACATTTGGGCTCTCTGCATGTGCTTCTGGATTGTTTTCACCTTCCCACCCTTAGTTTGGGCTCTTAGGCTGTCTTTGGACAAGTTTTAACTGACTTTTCTAGTGGGTCATAATTGGTCCAAGCCTTTGGAACCAGCATTTTCCGTAGAACAAGAGATGAACTTTAGCTGTCAAGTACAAAGGCTGCATCTAGGGCAAATGACTCCGCCCCCTTGGGAGTTCTGGGGCTTTGACAGGCAGCCATAAGTGGGTCTGACCTCTTCCTGAAGTGAGGTTCCTCCCACTACCCCATGACTCCTAGGACAGCCAGTTCCTGCCTGGAGGGCACCGCCTCGCCCCCGTGTGGTGACAAGGAGAAAGCCTCCGCAGGTTCTCAACAGCTGGAGCCTGCTGACTTCCAGCTCCTGCCCAGGGGTGGGGAGGAACCAGACGGGAGGGGAGGGTGCAGCATCCCTGCAGTGAGGCCCTCTTCATTTACCTGGACAGTAGGGAAGTGAGAATGGGGGTTGTTTCCAGAGGCAAACGTCGATGGGAGTCAACATAAAGAAAGGGCCCATTGTTCCATTGTGCATTAAGCAGACTCCCTCCTGCCTGTCAGCATGAAAAATCCAGAGCTGAGATCTGAGGTAAGGCCTGGAGGTCAGGGCCAGCATTTTGGCTCTGCCGTGCCTGACTGTTTCCTCTCTGGGACTCAGTTTCCTTGTCGTGAAATAGAGGAGGGGGCAAGATGATCGTCTCAAAGGCCCTTTCTTAATGGCACCAGACCCTAACACTCATGCATTACCTGCCATGTGCCTGGCTGGGGCTAAGCCCCTCACCTGTATTCTTGTCCCATTTAGCCCTCACGAGGTCATGAGAGGATGCTATGCTTAGTCTTCTCTTTCCTGAGCATGCGGGAGGCCACGTCCTGGCCTGGGGTCCCACAGGAAATACACAAAGGAGATGGGATGGTGACACTGAGCCTGAAACACTCCAGTAGATAGAAAAGCCTGGCCTGCCGAGGTTGTCCAGAGGGGAGAGTGCTCGGGAGGAATGGACATACGCCATTCTCAAGGTTGCATTATCAGCACAGCAGCACAGAGTCTCTCATGTAATGTCGCACACCCGAGCCACGGACCGTGGAGGCGTCAGCATGCAGCAGCACACCACGACGTGTGCCCTGTGATGTGTGGGCACTGCGGCACCGGGTGGTTGAGGGCAGGGTGGCGCACGCCCATGAGAACCTGGCTGGGCGCACCCTTGGCACCCAGCCCTGCATGCCTGTGTGATGCAGGTGTGACACCGGTGGGGCAGCAGGTTCTGAGCTCCCCCACGCCGTGGCCTGTCCAGCACGTGGTGTGCAGACAGGGTGGCCTAAGGACTGCCGTGTGCAGGCACTGATGCCTGGATGAGGCTGCTTTGTTTCCCTCATACTTCAGTGGTACTAAGTTTGGGCCAGTCTTCTAAGTGATGCATAACTTCATTGTGTTTGCTTTTCTGCCCCAAACCTGTAATTGTTCTTGTTAGTTGCTGTCAAGTCAGCTTCAGCTCATGATGACCCATGTAGAACACAACACAACTTTGCCCACTCCCGAGTCACCCTCATGATCACTGCATGGTCCTGTCCATCACTATGACCACCGTGCCAATCTGTTTCTCTCAGGGTCTCCTTGCCCTCACTGGCCCTCTACTTCACCAAGCATTATGTTCTCTTCTAGCAACTGATCCCTCCTGAGGACGTGTGCAAAGCAAGCAAGTTGGCCAGTGAACTGTTGTGATCCATAAGGTTTTCGTTGGCTGGTTTTCAGAAGTAGATTGGCAGGCCTTTCTTCCTAATCTGCCTTAGTCTGGTAGCCAGGCTGAAACCTGTCCACCATGGGTGACCCTGCTGGTATCTGAAATGCCAGTGGTAGAGCTTCTAGCATCACAGCAACATGCAAGCCACCACAGTTGACAGACTGACAGTCGGGTGGTGGACCTGTTACTTCACTGACAGACTCTTACAATCCAGAAAATATGGTATAGGTGCCATGTGACCTGAGCAGGTGACATAAGCAGGAATGTGACCCAGTCCAGGTCTGTGGTGGGCTCTGTTCTCACAATGCCTTGAGGCCTGAGGCTGGGCTCTGCCTGGGCGGTGGGCTTGTCCACCCTTCACAGCTCCGGCATGCCACGATTCTCAAGACTCTTGCTCACCTGCAGCCATGTCTGTGAGCAGCCAGGAGGACACCCCCCGCAGAGCCTCAGCCCAGGCGCCCATGTTGGCCTGTGTAAGAGCACCAGTTGCTCTCCAGCCCGAGCTCAGACCCAGCCCAGGCGGGGCAGAGCCAGGCAGCCAGCACCCCAGTGAGAACACAGCCTCTGCTGTGCTGCTGCTACTGCTGCATTTAATCAGGAACAGAAATAAAGTGCTGTGTTAATTAAGTCACAGCCCGTGTGAAGTCAGCTGTTACCAGCG